TTTCTCAATATAACTGAGTACAACTTTTTGAAAAAATAAGATGACTGGTACCAAGGTGCAGAAATGATATTTTTTCTCTCTTATGCCAACTATTTCTTTGTAACAAGAATAAATAACTTTCATTTACTTTTTTCCAATACCCCAGACTTCAAGGAGAAGGAATAAATAGCTTTGATTCAACCAATAGTATGAAATCATTAAATAAATGCATAACTTTTGCTTATTAACTTCTTAGATTTTCCTGAAATTAAAAAGGAAATTTAAAAATTACTTGAAACAAATGAAAATGGAAACACAATGTATCAAAATCTATGGGCTACAGCAAAACCAGAACTAAGAGAGAAGTTTTTAACAATAAATGCCTACATCCAAAAAGTAGAAAGATTTAGAATAAACAACTTAACAATGTACCTCAAGGAACTAAAAAAGCAAACATATACCAACTCAAAATTTATAGAAGGAAAGAAATAATAAAGATCAGGGAAGAATCAAATTAAATTGAGACTAAATAAACAATGCAAAAGACGAATGAAACAAAAAGTTGTTTATAAAAAAAAGATAAACAAATTTGGCAAAAGTGACAGACTGTATTAAGAAAATGTGGCACATATACACCATGGAATACTATGCAGCCATAAAAAAGGATGAGTTAATGTTCTTTGTAGGGACATGGATGCAGCTGGAAACCATCATTCTGAGCAAATTATCACAAGAACAGAAAACCAAATACTGCATGTTCTCACTCATAGGTGGGAATTGAACAATGAGATCACTTGGACACAGGAAGGGGAACATCACACACTGGGTCCTATTGTGGGGAGGGGGGAGGGGGAGGGATAGCATTAGGAGATATACCTAATATAAATGATGAGTTAATGGGTGCAGCACACCAACATGGCACATGTATACATATGTAACAAACCTGCACGTTGTGCACATGTACCCTAGAACTTAAAGTATAATAAATAAATAAATAAACATAAACAAAATTGGCAAACTTTAAGAAAAAGAGAAAACACTAAGATAAAATCAGAAATGAAAAAGAAAACATAGCAACTGACCCCACAGAAATACAAAGGATCATTAGAGACTATTGTGAACTACTATGTGCCAACAAATTAGAAAACCTAGAGGAAATGGATACATTTCTGAACACATACAACCTACCAAGATTGAACAAAGAAGAAATAGAAAACCTCAACAAACCAATATAAGTAATAAGATTGAAGCAGTAATAAAAATTCTCTCATTCAAAAAAGCCCAGGACCGGATGGATTCACTGCTGAATTCTACCAACCATTTTTCAAAGAACTAATACCAATTCTACTCAAACTATTACAGAAAAATGAAGAGGAGAGAATACTTCCAAACTCATCCTATAAGCCCAGTGTTACCCTGATACCAAAACCAGAGAAGGGCACAACAAAAAAAGAAAACTGCAGGCCAATATCTCTGATGAACATAGATGCAAAAATCTCAACAAAATACCAGCAAATCAAATCCAATAACACGTTAAGATAATTAATCATGATCAAGTGGGACTCATCCCAGGATGCAAGGATGATTCAACATATACAAGTCAATAAATGTGATACATGTATTGATATATTGATATTAATACACTGACAGAATTAGGACAAAACTCATACGATCATTGTAGATGTTGAAAAAACATTCAACAAAATTCAACATCCCTTTATGATAAACACTCTCAATAAACTGGCTACAGAAGGAACATACCTCAAAACAATAAAGGCCATATATGATAAACCCATAGCTAACATCATACTGAAAAGGGTAAAACTGAAAACTGTTCCTCTAAAATCTGGAATAAGACAAAGATGCTGACTGTCACCACTGTTATTCTTCATAGTACTGGAAGTCCTATCCAAAGCAATTAAGAGAGACAAAGAAATAAAGGGCATCCAAGTTGGAAAGGAAGAAGTCAAATTCTTCTTCTTCTCAGATGACATAATATATTTAGAAAAATTTAAACACTCCACCAAAAAGCTGTTAGAACTGACAAGGAAATTCAGTAAAGTTGCAGGATACAAGATTTACTTACGAAAATCAGTAGCATTTATAAATGCCAAGAGAGAAAAAACTGAAAAGGAAATCAATGCCATTTACAAAAGCTACAAAGAATATATAATACCTAGGAACAAATTTAACTAAGGAAGGGAAAAATCTGTACAAGGAAATGAGGATGAAGACCAAATATATATTTCACAATATTACAGTCCTATGTTTTCTTTATTCATTCATTAGTTGATGTGTGCTTAGGTTGACTCCATATTTTGGCTATTGTGAATAGTGCTATAATAAACATGGGAGTGCAGATATCTCTTCAACGTATTTTTTTTATTTTGCATATATACCCAGCAATGGGATATATTGGGGCAGTTCTAGTTCTGTTTTTTGTTTTGTTTTGTTTTTGTTTTTTAGAATCTCCATACTGTTCTTCATAGTGGCTGTACTAATTTATATTCTTCAAATGTAAATTAGGGACTGAGCCCTATCTCTGTGGGACCTGATGCTATCTTCAGGTGGACACTGTCAGAACAGAATTAGAGGACACCCAGCTGGTATCTGGCAGAATTGCCTGCTTGCTTGGTGTATGGAGGAAAAAAAAAAAAAAACGAACACATTGGTTCACAGAAGTCTTCTGTGTTGTTTGTTGTTGAGTGAGAAAACAGGAAAAACCCTTTGAGTTTTTTGTTGGTGTTGTTTTCCACTCACAGACAGTACATATGCACAATGGAAAATTATTCAGCCATAACAAAGAATGAAGACCTGTCGTGTGCAGCAACATGAATGTAACTGGAAGTCATTGTGTTAAGTGAAATAATCCAGGCACAGAAAGACAAATACCACATGTTCTCATTTATATGTGGGAGCCAAAAAAGTGGATCTCATGGAGGTAGAGAGTTCACTGGTAACTACCAGAAAGTGGAAAGGGTAAGTAGGAAAGTAGGGGGGAAAATGGTTGGTTAAAATTTAAAAAAGAAAAAGAAAAAAGAAATAAGATAAAATAAAATTTGTAATACTCCAAAAACTTTGACAGAAAAGAGAAAAACATCTAAAGGGCCAATAAAGAACACTGATCAAAAAAAAAAAAAAAAAAAAGAAGAAGAAGAATGCCGGGCACGGTAGCTCATGCCTGTAATCCCAGCACTTTGGGAGGCTGAGGCAGGTGGATCACGAGGTCAAGAGATCGAGACCATCCTGGCCAACATGGTGAAACCCCATCTGTACTAAAATACAAAAATTAGCTGGGCGTGGTGGCACACACCTATAGTCCCAACTACTCAGGAGGTTGAGGCAGGAGAATCGCTTGAACAGGGGAGGTGGAGGTTGCAGTGAGCCGAGATCGCACCACTGCACTCCAGCCTGGGTGACAGAGTGAGACTCTGTCTCAAAAGAAAAGAAAAGAAGAAGTGTTGGTTAATGGGCACAAAAATACCCTTAGATAGAATAAGTCCAAAGTGCGACAGCACAGTAGGGTGACTACAGTTAACAAGAATGTATTCTGCAGTTCAAAATAGCTAGAAATGAAGAATGGGAATGTTCCCAACATAAGGAAGGAATAAATATTCAAGGTGATGGATATCTTAATTACCCTGATTTGATTATTGCACATTGTATACATGTATCAAAATATCACATGAACCCCCAAAATGTGTACAACTATATTATGTCCCAATAAAAAGATTCCTGACATTCTAAGTTTTTATTTCATGCCCCAGACTCCCTGGAACCAGTTCAGTTATCCCCATCTCCTCACCCTTGCCTTTTCACAGTGGCTACTGCCAACTGTTCAATTTGTTAACAGAGAAATCAGCAGGTGTAAAGAAGAGAGGTAAGGGTCTTTGGGACCTGTTTGAGGCTTTCTCTCTGATAAAAAGAGGAACTGGAAAAGAAAATCTGGCATAAAAGATAGAGGGAGTTGCCTGAAGCCTTTCAAATGTGTAAATATTTACATTAAAATTTAAAACTCACGATTTTTATTTTCCAAAGTAACTCTGGGCCCTTTTCCTACATGTCAGGAGGCCATCCGTAAACACTTGCCTTAGGTCAGAGGCCATCCCCCTTTTGCTGAAAAGGCCAGATAGTAAATGTGTAGACTTTGCAGACCAAATACGTCCATGGCACATATTCTTCATTGTTAAATTGTTTTAAAACTATAAAAACCATTCTTAGCTCTGGGCCACATAAAAACAGGTCTTGGCCGGGTGCTGTGGCTCACGCCTGTAATCCCAACACTTTGGGAGGCCGAGGTAGGCGGATCACGAGGTCAGGATATCGAGACCATCCTGGCTAACATGGTGAAACCCCGTCTCTACTAAAAACACAAAAAATTAGCCAGACAAGGTGGCGGGCACCTGTAGTCCCAGCTACTCAGAAGGCTGAGGCAGGAGAATGGCGTGAACCCAGGGGCGGAGCCTGCAGTGAGCCGAGATTGCGCCACTGCACTCCAGCCTGGGCGGAGCAAGCCTCCGTCTCAGAAACAAAGAAACAAACAGGTCTCAACATAAAAGGAAACAAAAAACAAACAAACAAACAAAAAACAGGCCTTTGGGGAGACTAGGCTCACAGGCTGTAGTTTGCTGGTTCTTGGCTTAAGGTCCAGAGACAAAAGCATGCGACAGAGTTGGGAAAATTGATTTTAACCTGGACCTGTTCCCTTAGTCAAGCCTTCACCTCTGTTTGAACTGGGACATTTCTAAGGCTCATTCAATGATTATGTGACTGTCCCCAGATTACCTAACTAAGCAAATCTACTATTGCCAAGCATGAGCCCTGTCTTCATCCAAATGCCTATGTACCACTTCAGCCTCAGGTCTCCTATGTGTCCCCGCTGCTCCGAGCCAGGTATCACTTTCCCACCACAGTTTCTCCAGGAAATCCTCCAAGGGACAGTCGGCTCAAGGATCCAAATAAGTGAGGGAGAACAGAGCCTGGAAGAAACAAGGCAGCCCAAAAGAAATAAACCCACCAACCTCAGACAGGTCTTTCCTCTTCTTACAGTTGGTACCTCCAATGAAGACCATGTTGGGCATGACTGGCCTAGGATACTCAAGTACAAAGTCATATCTTAACAGCCAAACAGAGACCTTCTGATATAAGGTGATTACATCCACATCTCTCTTGAGGACAGCTGATGCGAGGTCGTCGTACTTTGAAAACAGACAATAAAATAGATAGGGCTCCAACAAATTAACGAGGAAGTTGGCCACTCGTTGGGGAAAAGTCATGTGGTCTGAAAACTTTGTGTAGCACCTGGGAATATAGGACACAGGGTTTGGGCTTCTGCTGAATGTATGCTCCAGGGAACACGGAAAACCCCTGAAGAGGTACACGGAGGGCAGGCCCAAATACTCAGCCAGGATCACCCCACAGGGTAAGGCTGGGTCTGTGAAAAGAGCATCGAACTTGCTCTCCTTGAGGAAGTTCAGGGTGTCCACGTCCTGCAGGAGGCTCTGGCAGTTGATGAAGTACATGTCAATAACGACCATGTTATTCCTGTACTCTGTCTGAGGCGCAGTCAGGAATGATCGCTCAGCAAAGTGATTGTTTCCAAACAATTGGTAACGGTTCTCCATCTCTTCTTGGTCATGCGGCACTGGATAGATTTTTCTTGTGTAGTATTTGGATTCTTTCAAAAGCAAATTGACTTCAGGCACCACCACTACAATGTCATGCCCCCGGTCACTGAGAACCTCAACTATATCCTTCATACTAAGCCAGTGGCTTCCATCCTGAGGGATCACCAGCAGCTTGTCACCTACAACCATGCCCCAAAGTGCTAAGAAGAAAACCCCTGCGGAAATTCTCTGAAATGCACGAAGGAGGCAGGCCATCCTGGAAACAGTTAAAGTAACAACAGTAATAAAGAGTTTTCACGCTCCAAATCACAGGGCTCCTAGCTATTTTCCCTAAACTCACCACTGCTTTTCACAGGTCCTGTCTACCTCTCCCTTGCTCTGAATTTTGCCCTTTAATATGTAAGAACCCAAATTAATATTTAACCATATTAAGCACACAGTGAATATGGATCAACTACACCCTATGTCAGCTTTCACCTGAACTTCCAGGATTTTCTCTTCATCTCCACCAGTCTGCCTCTCCCTCTCAGAAAAGTTATAGCAACACGTTGAAGATAACTTGGCGAGACCCCTGGAGACCCCCTGCCAATTCTCTATCCCGAACTTGCTGGATTCCTCATCATTGACGTTGTCTGTTATGTCCATGATGTGTGGGGATTTTATTTCACATGGACCTGTTCTCTAACACTAGCTGGGTATCCTACAATTCAATCCCATTCTGAATTGAATTCTGAGTTAGCATGGACCCCACAGGTTAAGGGCTCAGTCCTACAAGACTGCCTCCACTTCAGACACCAATTGCAAATAGTAGGTTCCCAGGTTACCCACAACTTCTGTCTGACTTGGCAAAAATCAGAGGTTCACACACCCTCTTTCTTGGAGTCAATCATTTGCTAGAATGACTCACAGAACTGAAGAAAACAGTTTAGTTACTAGGTTTGGTTTATCACAAAGGATATTGCAAACAACACAGATGAATAGCCAGAGGAAAAAGTACAAAGAACAAGATATGGGGGTAAGGCCATGGAACCCCATCTGCCATCTCTGGGTGCCCCACCCTCCACACCTTCAGCAACCTGAAAGCTCTCTGAACCCCGCCTTTTTGAGTTTTTATGTAGGCTTCCTTACATAGTAGGCATGATTGATCAGATTGTTGCCCACTGGTGATCAAATCAATCTTCAATCACTCTCTCCCTTCTTCCCTCTAATTGCAAGGGTTTGGTTCCCTGGCAACCAGCCTTCATCCTTAGAGACTTTACATGTCCTTTACATAAACTTAAATGTGATGGAAACGGATCTGTTTTGAAAAACAAAAGATTCTCTGTTCACCTTTATCGCTCCCACCACTTACGGTTTCAGGAGCTCTGGCCAGGAAACAAAGACAAACATATATATTTCTTATTATACATCACAATATACAACATTCAAACTGTTACTTGCCTTTAGGAAATTAAGATTTGAGAAGTGTAACTCTAGCCAGTACGTGGTGAGGTACTAGAGCTGCAGTCAGAAAGCCTGGTATCTGCTTCCGGCCCAGCCACCCATCAGCCAGAGGAGTGACTCCTCTCCTGAGCTTCAGGTTTCTCAACTGAGGCCCAGAAAGGGAGGGTCACACTGGCCCTGCCTGCTAATCACACTGCTGAGGGTGGTCCCAGAGCAAGACCTGTGTAGAAACTAGGCTGTCGCAGTGAGAGGTGGTGCCTAGCATTACTAGAACAGACTCGCCCAGAGCTAGTCACGCACACCTGGTTGGCATGCAATGTCCTGTTCTCACCTACAAGTTTGGCACTGGAGGTGCTCTGGGGCCCAGGAAGGGACAAGCCTGAGCAACATGATTAGAGGGACCACTCCAAGGACAGGGCTGGCCCCCACGGGGAACATAACCAGGATGCAAATTCATTGTTCAAGGCATGTGAAGACTCAGGTCAGTCCAAGCTAGGAGCAGTTTCCCAAGAGGATTACCAGCTTACAATGAACAAAGTCATGGGGGTGGCAGCATCTTGCTTTGAGTTCATCTAGATAGCAATAAGACTCCAGGAAGGTTGCAAAGGGAACAGAGCTTAGGTCCACCTTCTTGAGCAGGAAGACGTTAGGCAGGTTTCCTTCAAAGAACAGTTCATCTAGAGGACGAACGGCTTAAGCAAGCATGTAGGAATAGCAGGATCAAGAGATGCTACAAACTTCACATTCTTTATACTAGACCTCCACTGTGCTGTGGACATTGGTCTGGGCCCTTCCAAGCAAAGCCTTGCTCTGAAAATCCTATGGCTCATCTGTGGGTCCTGTTCTTAGTTCCAGAAGTCCCTACAGAACATGAGTTGGAGGAAGGAGTTGAAGAAAAGAAACTAACATCACTATGCATATCATCCCTTGAATTCCTAACACCTTCTTGCAAATAAAGAAGGTATTAGAAAACATTTTTCTTTCTCCTGTGAGCTTTGACTATACTAAGAATGGCGTGTGTGTGTGTGTGTGTGTGTGTGTGTGTGTGTCTGCACTGGAGACTAGCCAGAGGAATCTGGCATGTCTGTTAGTCATAATGATGATCCCTAAAGAGTAGCTCCACTGGAGACCCAGGCCTGCCCTGGTTGGTGCTGTGGGAGTCAAGGTGTCCTCAGGCATCTCCTGAGTATCACACAAAGGCCGATTTTTTTTTTTCTCAGGGATTGCTGCCGACTGAATGACTCAGGCTTGGGACATATTCCAGTGGCATGAAAGAAGTAAATCCTAAGATAAAAACAAATCTCTGTGGGCAAGAGCAGATTTCCCAAAAGTAAATGGAGGATACCTGGCATTTTGAAAAGAGGAGAGACCCAAAGATGTGCATGAAGGTAATTCCATGTTGGGAATAGGAAGGTCTGGAAAGGTGGACCCTATGGAGAGGTCTGCTTCTAAGGTGCTCACTCTTTCAGACCCTTGTATGACCTATAAGCCATAAGTAATGGAGCCAGGACCTACCTGCAAGATTTCAAAGGACCTGCAAATTGTTTGAGACTTAAAAAAAGAAATTTGCTGAATCTAGAATACTAAAATGGCGAAATTGAATTTATGAATATTTTATGAAATGGCTATAAAAACGTAACTACATGTCAGTGAATCCACTACCGATTAGCTCACCAAGTTACACAGACATATGTGACATGGGATGCGGGAGCAATTTAATCTATTTGATATGCTGTGGGGTGGGGCTGCAGAAGTCAGAATGCTCTGTGCCCAGATCTCGAGGGAAGTCCAAAATGGTGGGATGAAGCAGGAATCCCTTTTAGGGGCCTGTGGGCTCCTCCAAACATGGAAATAAAGGATATTCTTGGGTTCTTTCAAAGGAAATTCCAGGCACCTACCTGACCCTGAGAAATAAATAAGGCACTTGATAAGCAAGAAGGTAATAGTAGCCTAAAACAATAGCCAAGGATGTTAGAGTCCAGAGATGCTTGATTCCCTATAGAAACTAAAGATTACATCTTAACATATGTCCCTGAGTTGTTTCTCGGAAACCTGGACTTCCACCAAACGGATCCATTGGCAGGCAGACCTCAGATAAAGGGAACCGAGAACTGAACTCTGACAGCCAATCTTTGTTCCCGGAGGAAGTCACACTCATGAGCAAGAGCTAACATTCTTTTCTGCGAACCCCAAATTTTAAATGAAGCTTCTCTTCCTTAGCTAACTGCAAATCAGAAAATCTTTGAATTCACCTATGACCTGCAAGCCTTCATTTCTCATGACCAAACCGATGTGTAACCTCTGTGTATTGATTTGCAATTTCTTCTTGTAACTTCTGTTTTCCTAAAATGTATCCTTGCCCTTAAAAACCCTTACTTGCAAGCCATCAGAGAGGTTGGGTCTTAAGTATAAGCCTCCCAATACTCCTTGCTTGGTGCCCTGCACATAAATGCCTTCCTTTCTCCCACTGCAAATCTCAGTGTGGATGTTTGGCCTTACTGCACTGGGTGAGTGAACCCCAGTTTAGTTTAGTGTGATAACAATAGTCAAGTCTGAATCACCCACAGACAGGACAGGGAAGTGCAGGTAAGTATGGCTTGCCCAGCCAGACAGTTCCAGGGGCACCTGTCCTAGTAGAAGATAAGGTGTTTATAACTTCCTTCAGGGGCTTGTAACAATGTGGGTTGTGGTCCCAGGAGCAGTGGGGAGGGGCACAGGTCACTAAGTAAGCCATGACAAAGGGATTATTCAGAAGAGACATAAAGTAGGATTTCCACTTGCCCATGTTTGTGAAGTAAAGAGACCCTGGAACACAGGGATGAAGGGAAAGAACACGCTGTGATTCCAAACATTTGGCTTCATGCTGCACCTGCCATCTTCCCTGCTTGGCACACTGTCGCCCCAACTTCTCCCAAGATTGCCACTCCTCATCCTGCAAGGTCCCCTATGATCAGCTCTCTTTGCATCCTTTACTTTTCTTTCAAAGTATGTTTCACGGTTTGTAACTAATCAATGCCTTCCTCTCCACAGATGTTTGTTCAATGAAGGACATCTAATATTAAAGTTTTTAGAAAAAGAGCCAGCTGCATGTTATTCTGTAACACCAACAAAAACAAGACTAACTCATGTTTGCTGAGGGATTTGAGACCATGTGATGTCCTAAGTCAAACCCACTCTAGGCACAGTTCACTCCATGTGACATTCCCAAAAGGCCAGAGATAGGACATTGCCCAAAAAGTTTTCTGTCAACACAGGGAGGCAGTCAGGAATAGAGGTTAGGCACATGGGCTCAAAAATTAGAACATCAGGGTCTATTGTATACAAATGTTCACAGTAACATTATTTTTCATGGCTGAAAAGGGGAAACAACCCAAATGTCCACCAACTGATGAATGGATAAAAAAAATGTGGTAAATCCATACAATGGAATATTCAGCCATGAAGAGGAATGAAATACTGATTCATGCTACAACATGGATAAGCTATGAAACTAAGTGAAAGAAGCCAGTCATAAAGGCTTCTATTTCCATGAAATGCCCAGAATAGGCAAATCTATACAGACAGAAAGTAAATTAATGCTGAGGGGTAGGAGAAGGGGGAGAAATAAAGAGTGACTGCCAGTGGGCATGGGGTTTCTTTTTGGAGTGAGGAAAATGATCTGGACTTAGATATTGGTGATGGCTGATTACATCTGGGAACACATGGAAAACCACTGAATTTTATGATACTTGAATTACATATCAATTTTTAAATTTAATTAATTAATTTATTTTTTTATTTAATTTGAGACAAGGTCTTAGTCTATCATCCAGGCTGGAATGGAGTGGAATAATCATGGCTCACTGCAGCCTTGACCTCCTGGGCACAGGCGATCCTCCCACCTCAGCCTCCTGAGTAACTGGGACCACAGGCATGTGCCACCATGCCCAGCTAACTTTTAAAAAAAAATTTGTAGAGACAGTGTCTC